TTAACAGCACTGATTTCTATTAATCTAAGCTTAATTAACATTCAGAATAACCTTACCAATTATGGTTTCAAAAATTGTAACCAAAAGCATTGATTGCTGAAGCTTTCAAATTAATTCAGTATGTCTATTTTATAAAATTTCATAAGTATTTTTAAATATTTTTTAAAATTGAGAAAAATGAATTGTCATCGTCATCTTCATTTCAGCTGTATTTCTTAAAATGCTTTTAGCATAATTAATTGTTGTGTCAGAAATCGTTAGATCTATTTTTTTAAATTATTTAAGTTGAATTGTTTCTATGTTTTGATCTCATATAATTTGAAGTTGTGATTACAAAAATTTAACAGCGATTCTTGAAAAAGCAAAGATATGTTTGATTGCTCTGAAATTTCCGTGATCATAAAGTCATTAATTTCCTTAAATATTTTTTTGCTAAAAGCATATTAATAATAATAATAATAGTAATAGTAACTAATAAAATAACAATAATAATAATAACAATAATAATAATAATAATAATAATAATAATAGCAGATATTTTTCAGTGCATAATAATTTTGAGTTTATTTCAGCTTATTTTCGGTCAAATTTTATAAAAGTTTTAAATTATACATTGTACTGAAAAAATATTTAAAAAATAATTTTTCTTACAGTAATATTCTATCTATTTTTGAATATTTTTTAAATTTACCTCATTTTTAGCGTAAAAATAATTACAAAAAGTAGAGAGAAAAATTGAAATCCAAAATTGTCTTCGATTTTATTTCTGTCAAATTTTAAAAATTGTTAAAGGATTATTTTTTCATTTTAAACACTATTTTTCAGTAAATAGTAAAAGAAATGCGATGAAAATGTAAAATTCAAATAACTGGTTTTATATTTTGAATTAACTAACTATAATGCATAATTTGGAGTAACTTTTCATCATACTCTATTTTGATCATATTAATAACTTATAAAACTTTTACTTATTAATTACTTTTTCAGTTCGTAATAATTATTAAGCGATATAATCAATAGGTGACTGATTATACAAATGATAACAGATCCTATTTGTTTTGATGACATTGAATTAGATAGTCTCGCATATCTTTATATATTCGCATAGTTAATACAAAACATATCACTTAATATTTGACTGCTAAATTATATTTTTATTATTCCTTGTAAACTCTTATTTAAAAAGATGAAACCAAAGAATTATTGAAATTTAAAACGAAATTTTAGAGGACTTATTTTAAAGATTATAGATAATCGTATATAATTGCTAGTTTTCTAAATTTTTAATTAAAAAAGTTTTAAATTAATTAATTTAAAAACAAATCATTAATTATCTAGCAATTAATTTTACTATTAGTAACAAATTTTTGATATTAACTGAATTGATCAAAATTTGAAATATGTAATATACTTTTTGATTGCAATAGTATTTTATATGTATTAAAAGTAAATTTTGAGTTCGTTTGCAGGGGCCGTATTTCAGTCATAATTTTATTTTGTTTATTTGTCTGATTTTCTCTTCAAAATTTACAATCTTTTATCAAATTTGATAAATGTAAAATAGAGAGAGAGAAAAAGAGAGAAGAAAAGATTGAGAGTGAAATCGGTACTGAGAGGTTTGCTTGCTTGCCATTATTGCTAAGGTTTGGATTGGACTGGACTGTCGTGCAAGGCGTAATATCATGTATACTTTAGCCAGGCCTTTTTGCCTTAGGCATTTATGCCTTAGATTTTGCTGCAACTTCTTTTTTTTACCACATTAAAGACTATGCTACTTAACTATTCACTTTCAAACTTGCAAATGATTACTTTTTCTTTTTTGACTAAATTTTTATTATTTTCAGTTTTACAAATATTCCTTTATTCTTTCTTTTGCATTTATTTCTTCTTTTCAACTAAACTAGGGCTATTGATTGATCAATTAATTGATGACAAATTAAATATCCTTTAAACTTTTTTTATTTTTATTTTTTTAATTTTTTAAAAGTTTTTATTGAGTAATTTATTAATTGAGAAAATAAAATGTTGTGGCAGAATTAATTGAATTACATTGATGACATGGAGAAAATGAAAAATAAATTATTAGATGAAAGAAAGTATTTCATTTTAAATTTTATAAAGATTTTTGCAGGGAAATATTGGTGTTATTTTTTTTCTGATATCACCAAACTCAAATAATAAATGGAATTACCAATTGTATAAATCACAGAAGTACAAAAAATGATGGAAAGAAGTGAATCACGAAAGTGCTTTCACCACTGGCTTAAGAATTCTACTCGACCGCTGCTAATTCTTGGAGCGCCTTATACTGGCAAAACATTTTTTGCAAAATTGGTAAGTTTTTGATTTGAAATAAAAAAGTCTTATATGCTAGCAAAAAAAGAAAAAATATTTAAAAAATAGATCTCTAGAATCTCAATGAAAATAATTGACTTTCTAGTTTATTAAGCTTAATGGAATTAATTAAATTATTTCTTCTTACAATCGAACAGAAAAAGCAATTTCTAGTCTTTATAGACCAATATTTTAGGAGCAGGATAATGTTACATTAATTATATGATATTAGTGATAAAAGGTGAAAGACTAATTTTTTCTGTGTATTTTAAGTTTTTATGCCGAAAAACATACAAATTATGCATTATTAGTGCGGATAGTAAATGATAAAATAAGAAGTTACGCATAGTGTGGTGTTTATTTTACTTTGAATTCTATTCTTTAAAGTATGAATTATGTTTAAATACAAATCAAATGTATTAGTGATGATTGGAATAGTAACAATCCAAAAATTGTTTGATCAGATGATTATTTACTTGAGCAGATAGGTGCATAATTTGCAGCATTTTATTTACAACATCATAAAACATTCTACAAATCTTTAGAAAATACTCCGAATGAGGTCAAAAAATATCAGCAAATTTTATGTTTACATTTAATTGCTACATTAAAATTTGCATAAAATGAAAGCTGTTCTAACGAGCCTTTTATTGCCCTCAAGACAATCTTTTAATTGCAATTGCATGTGTATTTCTTATCAGTTATGGGAAAAACTTTTTTGATAAAATTCGAGTAAAGTAATATCACAAACTAAACTACTGCACAACATGAGAGTAAAATAAGTGATATAATAAGCAATTAAATTACTACTTTCTTGTTTGATTAAAGCAGATATTATTGATATGTAAACATTTGAGAAGTAATTTTTGAAAAATATTGAAAGAAACTTATTTGATACGATGTTTTTGCCAGTGTTAGTTCAGTAAACATACAGTGTAAAGCATTAATGATATAAAAGTTTACTCTATGAAAAAACATCACAAAGGACAGCTGATTGTTTGTTGAAGTTATTTTGCAAAAGCTCAAACTAAACTAATTGTTCGTTATTTAATTTTTTTTAAAATGTTAATATATTTTCATCGATCGCTTTAACTTTAATTGATTGTACAAACTGGTACTGAAATGTAAGATAAAATTTGAAATAATCAACTAATTTGGCAATTTCTTAAAGTTAAAGTTTTTTGGAATTTGAGCAAATTTTTTTTGGTTTATTATCCTTAAATTTATCTCATTGTATTATAGAGTTAATCAGTTCTGAATTCTTCTTAAATATTATCAAATTTAATTTCTGAATATCGATAAAATAAACCGTCGAAGCATTTATTATCATTTAATTTTCTTCATTTTTGAGTAATGCAAAATATGTATTAAATTTTGATGGATATATTTGAATTTGTTATGCAGTTTGTCATGCTTTTGAGATTTTGAAAAATTGACTTGTAGTAATTTTTACTTTTGTAAATAAGTCACTTAGATTGTGTAGATCGTTTTAACGTGAGAAGAAGTTGACTTTGCTCTAACGAAAGTCAAAACATTGCAAAATAACAAAAATAAAAGTAATTTCAGAGAAAAAATAAGCTGAGGGAAATGATATTTTTTATCTTTTTACTATAGTTATTTCACGATTATTCTTAATTTTAAATGTATAGCAATAGGCAAATGTGATTAGTAGAGGGATGAATTGTCATTGATAACATCTGTTAACATCTTTATCTAATTTTTCAGCGTAAAATATAACATTTTTATATTCAGATATGTATGGATATTGTTAATGGCAGATTTCTTACATGCTTATCATTACTTGTTATGATAGTACAAAATGATCTTTGATATGATAAATGAAGTAATAAAGTTAGCATATAAAAAATTTATTAGAAAATTACACAAGTAAAAATGTCATTTTTGAATAATAAAAAGTTTATTTTCTATTCATTCATTTTTAATCTATCTGAGAGTATTTTTAATAATAATAATAATAATAATAAAAGTAACTTGCAAATAATATACATGAATTGATTAGCGTAAAATGCAAACAGTTGTTGTGGTACTAATGTCATTAGGCTGATTGAATACTTAATAACGAGTAACGAGCAACTTAATGAAAATGGATTACTTGAATAATCATTGTCAATTCAGTTAAGTGAGTATTACTGTAAATTAAGTGGTTTTATGCTGCAAAAAAAGTAAATAAATGCTTAATTTTTTTCATAAATTGCTTTCAAAGTGCAAAATATTACTGGGAAAAACAAAACTCTGCATACTGATTTATAAGAGAAGCGTTATTAAAATTTATCGAAAAACAATAAATTAGAAAACTTACTCAAACGGAAAGAATTTTTTTTAATGTATTTTTTGCAATAATTAAATTATTTCAGACTTTTTTTTTGCTTTTTTCATATTGAAAAGAACTTTGAAAAAGTAATCGTTTTGATAAAATTAACTTTTTATTTTTATATTTTTATATCAGTTATGTGATAAAAAATTAAAGTATAATTTCAGTTAGAAAATGAACCACAATTGGCAGCCATCCATTACTGTACAAAAATTGATCCTGAAACTGTAGAAAGTGGAACAATTTTACGAAATATTGCGCGGCAGCTCCTCAAATGTTTTCCTAATTTAGTCATTCCTAAATTTGCATCTGTGACTTTTTTAGCCTATCAGGTATGAACAACTTTGTGAATGTTATTGATAGAATTAATTTACACTGTATTAAATAGACAGAAGTTACTACTTAGAATTAAAATTAAAATTGCATTTTTTTTTTCCAAACAAATAAAATGCTAATCTCAATTTGATCATTTTTTTTCAAAACATAATAAGTGATGAGTCATCCTTAATTGCATTTTGCATGTATTTAAAATTTAAAGTCATAATTAAATTTCTATTTAAGTTTGCATTTTATATGAATAAAAATACATTTACAACTGTAATACATTTTGTTTGTTGGCTTATTTTCAGCTGCTAAAAAATTGAATTACTGAAAGAAATGTAATGTTTGAGTTGATTGGTAAAAGAATGAATGTTTCATTAGTGAATTGTGGAAAAAATTTTTGCAATTTTATATACAAATTTTGAAAGACTAAAAGTTGCTCAATAGAAAAAAAGATTGAAGAAAATTAGCAGTTATATTCGTTTTTAACTTTTATTACAAAGATTTCTTCAACTATACATAAATAAAAAATTTTTAATTTTTAAAAAATTTTTGACATTTAAATAAACTTTAATATTTCTTTTGAAGGCTGATGCGTTGTGTCATTTTCTGGTGAAACCACTTCAGTCACTGCCTTCACCAAAAGTATCATCTTTCATATTAATCGATGGGATTCAGAAGGAAAATATTCCACTCATAAATCAGGTAAGAATGGCTTCTCTCATTTATCATTGAAAGTAATTGAATGTAGAATGTGCATTCAATTCTGAAGAAAATGATACATTAATGTTTGTGTTATGTCAGTTCGGAATAAATTCTTAATTTTTCCTCAGATTATATTTTAATGTTTTTAAGTGCTTTGATTTCAAATTTTTCTATTTTTCTTCAGTAAAGAATTAATTCGATAGTTTTGAATATATTAAATCTTATTCACCTTGAAATCAGTCAAATTGAATTTGAGTTTGATTAATTTTCGTTCATTGTGTGGAATAGATTTAATTGTCGGCGATGCTAAAAAAAATATATATTTTAAAGGCAATTTTTTGAAGAAAAAAAAATAAGTCAGAGGGTCAGTTGGAATTTTTTTTGACTAAATTTCACCGTTTTTGCAAATTTTTTTAATTTTTTTGCCATTTAAATGTAATTTTAGTTTTTCATTTTACCATGTTGGGATTTGAATGATATAAAAACTATCTAAAATTATAGGTTATTGATCGATTTTGCAAAAAAAAAGTAATAGATTATTCGATAATATTCGACGTAATATTTATTGAAATTTATGTATTTTTCTTAGCACTAACAGTAGGAATGCATGCTTACTTATAGCATGCAGCACGTTTTATTTGTATGTTTTTTCTAAACTGATTTTGTAGAATATAAGACTAGTTCTCATTAACAAAAGTTAAGTAGAAAAACTTTGCAAACATTTAAGTATTCTTCATTTAGCATGCGATAACACAGCTGAAATAATGATAAAAGTAATAAGCACACGTGATAAGAATAACAGTAGAAGAATGTGAAATAGTTTTGTTTTTGTTGATAAATGAAGAAGTAGTCATTAATGTTTGACACAGCTGTGTTTTTTTTGCAAAAACATTTTTTTTAAATTGTTGTTCAGTGCATAAAAATTTTCAAACAATAATAATAATAATAATGATAATAATAATAATAATAATAATAACAGTAATGAAAAGAATATATTATCGATGATAAAAATGATGATAAAGTTTAGGAAGATGCTAAATTTGTATTTATTGTTATATTTGATTATTTCTTGCCATTAAAAGATAAGAAGGAAAGTTTCATCCTTTCAGAAAAAGGTATCACATTACTGGAGATGAAAAAAGAAAGAATTATTTACAGTTGTTGAGCATCTGGAAAAAATTTACTGCTTGTTTCTAAAAGGTAGGGTAAAAAATGCTATTCATCGTGCGAAAAAGTGCCATTGAGATATTTTGTTTACTCAATTATTGATATGAATATTATTTATGTGAGATAAATAGATAAATACAACACGTATAGTATGCTTAAATAAACATTCCTTCACATTGTTTATGAGATGTAAAAATGACGGCTACCTTTGACCTGTCAGATTACGTTACGTGTAATTGTATGGAAAAATAATTATATAGGATTAGATGCTAATTAGTACTTTTATTTTGCATATCTCAAATAAGAGAAGCAGTTATTACTGCTAAGAAAGTAATTAATTTTTCCTTTCAATAATTGCTTTAAAATTTATAGCATTAGGAAGATTTTTATTATTTTATTTTTAAAATTTATATTCCAAGAGATGTTGTTTTTATATATTATTTACTGTTTATTTTGCATTTAAAATTTGATACAATTCGCTGACTTTTTTTTAAATGTTTGGAATAAACAAAAGAATGTTTTATATTTAATAGTTTTCCATAATAGAAGAAATTTTGTTTCTGCTTGCTTATTTTGTTCATAATTTTCTAAAAGATAATCTTTATGTGGTTTTTTTTTTCATTCTTAATATGCAATAGCAATAATTTTTATACAGTAACTCCATACTTGGTGAAATTTAAAGACTGTACAATAATTATGTTAAAGTTCACTGTTAGAATTCGAAATTTTTGTGATTTCTCGGATTTTTATTGTGCTGCAAATCATGAAAATTCTTATTAAATCAATATGCAATGTTTTTTATAGACAAATTGTAGTCAAATTACACGATTTTACTAGAATTTATAAAGTTTTTCATAGAGAATGTCTTTTATTTTTTTTTCCTTTTTTTTACTTTTTTTCCTCTTTTTTTGTTATTTATGGACAATTACTCGTTGCAGCACTACTTATCTTAAAAAAGAGAAAAAAAATAAAAAGTTTGGTGGATTTTTTGGCAAAATCTTCTAGTGGTTCACAGAGATAATATAATCTGCAAAGTTCCATAAAGTAATAATAATTATTAATGAGTTCAGCTTTTACTAGCAGAGTTATAGCACATGTAGAGCATAAATCTCTCTACCACTTACTATTCTATCATTCTTCTATTTAAAGTAGTAATTGTTGATTATTCAGTGAAGAGCAGATATCATTGAAATATTATATTAAGATGGAATGAAATGAAAAAGTAGACAAGTAAGTTTGTGGTATGCAATCGGAAATTGGAATTAAAATTGAAATTGAAAACGTTTTATGCAAAGAAAAAGTGAGAAAAATTTGACAAGTTGTGCATGAATAATGCAAAGAATGAATGAACAAATTCAGGTCAAGATTTCATTTAATAATTCTATCTAAATTAATCTTATTGAATCTTATCAAAATGTTACAGAATACTAATATTTTTGAAGGATTTTATGCAAAAATTTTGTAAATTTCAGAAAAAATCGAATAAGTTTTTTCAGATTTAGCGACTTTTTATTGAAAATTGTGTAAAAGTATCAAGAATCTAGCAGATTCTGATGAGAAGTTTTTTCTCTTTTGCATCAAAGCTACTTGATTACAGTAAAAAAAAATTAAAATTAAACAAAAACACATTTGAAATAGTAATGGATTAGAATATAATGGCATTTTACTCTGACAGAAGTTAGCATATTTTTTGTTGTAAACTAACAATTTGTTTGCAAATTACTTTCAAATTTTTGCTCAAATTTCATCAAAAGAATGTAAAATTTGAATGTTTTCTAAATTAAATTGAGCCGTCAAAAAATAACGAATTGTAAAATATTATAAATTTACAAATTAGAAGTGAAGTATTGTCTTACTTTGCAAAAGTCACTGAGATGTGTTTCAAATCTCATTTGAATTGTAGTAAAATGAAATGAGTTTCGCCTTGATAAGTCGTCTCGTTTCCTTCTGAAAAGTAATAAATTTATGCATTTCTGCTAGAAAATAATTACATAAATATATTTTTTTCCTGACATTACAATTTTGTTGTGACAAAAAGTTTTTACACAAAAAAAAAAAGAACTTTTATTCAAGTTGGAAACTGAAAACAATTTTAGAAAATGCTAATATTTTGTAAAGTAAAGACTGAAAATGCTCAAAGGTCATTTAAAGGTTGAAATTTGTATTGTTATTATCAATTTTAGTTTCAGTTTTTTTAGTTATTACTAAATACGATTAATTCGTTCTCAAAACTCTAAAAAAACAATTTTGGAAACATTTTTGAAATAAATTATTTTGAAAAATATTTTAATTTTTCAGTCTTTCCATAAATGAATTTTAATGATATAATATAACGGATTTTTTTTTGAGTAGAATTAATGGTATTGTTATTTGTATAATTTTCAATAATATTTGCAATGATTTTTTTGATTGCATTGTTTGTTTGTTTTTCAAGATGATGAAGACATTGCCGTCTTGGCTAAAGTTAGCTATAACATCGCGAATATTACCTGAAAATGACCGGAAGAAACTTGACCGTTTTCAAATTTTAAATCTTGACGACAATTCTGATGAATTATTAGAATTTATTCGAAATAAATTACCTCAAATTGATTCCAATCGCATCTTAGAATGTTGTCAAGTTAGTTTATCAACTTTTTCAATTTTTTTATTCCAAAATATGTATTAAGTGATTGAATAGCTTTCATTTTGTCATCTGAATTAGCATTCATTTTATTTGACTGACTGACTTTCTTGATTTTTTTCTTGTGTATTTAGCTTTTAACATGTTTCAAGCAAATAATTGCAATTTAGGGTTCTTGGTTCTATGTATCACAATATTCCCGAGCTTTAAAGGCAAATTTGCTCACGTTACCGTCAACTTCATGTTCATCAAATAACAATATTGTAACTATTCCACGTAGATGTTCACTTCCTAATGGTGATAATGCTCTTCTGGCAGCAATCGAATCTGAGTTACCAACACATTTAAATTTGTATTTACGCTTAATTGTTGCTAGTCGACGTCCACCATCTCGTCAGCGTCTTGTAGCTGTTACACATCTAACTGCTAATCGTGCAATTCAATTGATCGAAGTAGATTTGCGTGAATGTGAACCGATTCTTGAGTCGACAGATCCGTTGATTCTAAGTGGTGCTTGGCGTGAACGGTTCAAACATGATGAATGTGAGGAAGGTCACGCCTTATGGGCACAGTTTATTCAACGTACAGGCTGTGAAACTGTTCAGACATTTCTGGAATATGCTTATCATTTGGCACACTCGGGTGGTGCGTTCAAAAAATTGAATTAATTTCTGTAAAATATAGCTTTTCTCAACTTAATATATATATCGTAATTGGTGCAAATTTATGCAAGAATTTTTGATATGATGACCATAAAAAAGCAGTTATTATTTTACTACACTTTTTTAAAAAATAAAGATGTTATTTTTTAAAATTTTGTAACACTTTTTATTAAAATATTTTTAGTTTCAAAATTAAATAATTAAAAGTGATAATAATAGCAAGTAATTATTGTAGAACTGCATTATTTGGATCGAATTAGAACACTCCGTGAATGCGGTGCTGAATTAATTGAATTAAAATTTCCTGTATTCGATTTTATGACTACGGATTTGTTGATAAAAGCTGGTGCAGTTATTCTGGATGTTCGTCAGTTACAGGTAATGTTTAGTTTTTTATTAAACATAATTGCAGTGGGAATTTTTTTAGCATTTAATTAAGTACCAAGTTGATTAAGCTGTTTATTTTTTGAGTATTTTTATTGTTATCACTTTTTTGCTTGCTAATAACATTTTTTGCACATATTTATTTAAGAACATTGATCAAATATTTTTTATTTCTTCGTTTTGCGATGTAATTTTTGATTGAATTGAATGAATTAGCATGATTGAATTGAATGAATTAGCATCTAATTTTTAAACTTATTTTTAGTTTATGCAAAATTGATCCTTCTATTAGCTTTACATTACTATTTCATTTTTATTCCTAGTCTTAATGGTAAAATTTGTTGCTGAAATACGAGCAAAGATTAGCTACTTTGTACTGCTTCAGACTAACAAGGCAAGTAATTGCTAGAAAGCTTTTCCTTCCTTATCTATCTAGCCATCATTTGAACTTGGAAAGAAGCATCGCATAAAAGCTGTTAAAATCTTTTGCATTTAATAAACTGCAGCATTCATTTGCTAGTCTCTTGAATAATCATATATTTCATGAAGAAGAAAAAGATCTTTAAATTGCTGCTTGTGATTACTTATTAAGATACTAATTAGGTATACTTAAATTGGGCAATTAATATTTGAAGACTTAAAATAAAATTATTTGATTATTCTTTCGTTTGAATGAAAAATAAAGCAAATTATCATTATAGATATTGAATAATTATTTAGTTGCGCATACAATAATAATGTAAGAAAAGTATTTGCATTAACAGCGGTAAAATATTTGGTAAATTCAACTGCTAGCATGTAAATATCTGGAAGATTATTTGGTTTAAGGGTTTTATATGAATAAGAACAAAGTATACCTTGATTTTTTAGCTGTAAAAATGGCAAATATGCCTTATAAATGCGCAAATGGTATTAATGCAAACCAATTTGCATAATTCAATTTATCTTGTTTCTATCTTATCACTTAAATCATTTTTTTCAATTTTTCAATTCAAAACCAATATTACGCAAACTGTGTTGATAAGAATAATTCATTAATACTCTTATTTCACGTTGTTAGTAACAGCAGGGATTAACTGAGTATATCACAGAATATATTGAACATCTGCTAGGATTTACTTATTTTCTGAAATGATGAATTTGGATTTAACCTTAACAAAACCTGTCAACGAGACATACAGTAAACGATATAAAATTAAAGTAGGGTTGATTAAAATTTAATAATATTGAAAACCTTCGTTTTGAGGTTAATTATTAAGTATATGATATTCATTTATGAATGGTTAGAATATAGCAAAATATTAAAAATTAATAAAAATTAACGATATAAAACTTTGAAAATTTGGTAGAAATATGTTAAAATAATAATGTCATTTGATTTTCAACTTTTCAGTTTTGTTAAATATAATATTAAAAAAAATTTCTGTAAATGACTTATTCATTAAGACTGTCAACATTTGCTTCAAAATGGTAACAAAATTAAATGATAAGAAATTTTCATATAATTAGTTGTTATTAACACAAGGTACCATCTGATATTTAAGTATGAATAGATATTTTTTGAAGCAATGCATTTAGATTTTTTAGTGATAAAAAGTGATATTTGACTGACTGATAATACTTTGCAATCATTAGTTTATTATAGTTTTTGATAAGACTGTTAATTTTGAAGCGATCAGTAAAAACCAGTAAAAACCGAAACATGAAAAATTCTTTGGTAAGATAGAATGGATCCTTGGGAATGTTTGTGACCCTTACTAGAAAATTGATGATAAATTTGGAAAGCTGGTATTCTGATGTTACCTGTCGTAATTAAAGTTTTAAGAAATGCTTAAGGGGATATGCATCAGTTTTTAAATTGTTACAGAAGTAATTTATAGTAAATATCTAATATCTTCATCTCTTATTTAAGCTTGTTTTATAGATTTTAGCTTTTTAACTTATCCAATATTTACCAAAATATGCTTTCAGAATCTTTATCATAATTTCTTAATAATATCAACAATATAAGATTACATTCGTCACTCCAATGCTTTCACATATTAATAATGAAACTATTATAGCATATCAAATTGAAAGAAGATTGAATATTAATTTTTAAAAGTCCTTTTGGATTAAAAAATTAAACATTGCTTAATATTGAAAAATTAAACAAATCTGAGAAATTTGAACAAAGTTTAGAGTGATTTTGTGTTTGCTTGTACATCTGGTGATTTGGATAACGTGTTATTGTTGCTCGACAGCGTGAATTACGATGATCTTTGTTCTGGATTAATTGCTGCATCTAGTCGAGGGCATACAGAAATTTGCAAGTTAATATTGAAAATTGACCCACGTGCTGCTGCTCACGTGGATTCACAACAATGGAATGCGTTACGTTCTGCTGCGTGCAATAATCATGAAAATGTTGTTCAGTTACTCATCGAAAATGGTAACTTCTTTACGTTACTCAATTTTTAGCTAAAATCCATTAATATTTGGCTATGTTATCTCATGCCTGAAATGAAAGTTTGACTTTATACACATATGTTAAATCGTATTCTGCTTTTGCTGCACTTTGACCTCTATCTCTTATGTCATTAAAGAGAGTAATTTCTTCACTACGGAAATTCCCGGAGGATTAGTACATCCGCTTCTCTTTGTAACCATTAACTATATTATTCCCATCAATAATACATTATGCATATAATATTTAATGAATTGTGCACATTTACATTCTGTTTCGAAGTATTATTGAAATGAGATAAAATACATTAGGTGTGTGGGTGAGTGAGTTAATTGTTGATTATTATCATTACTGGAGAAAGATAGTGTGTAATTTGGTGACCGTTTGTGTGTATAATTGAAAACCTTTTGGCTTTCAAACATATGGTCATTAATCCAAGGGTCCGATACTTACAAATGGACATTTTTCGATTAATTATTAAGCAAAAAAAAATGAAAATCACTAATTAATTTTTTCTTGATTTCACTTTAAAAAATTATGAATAAATAATTAAAATTTTAAAAGAAACATTCTCGATTATAGAATTTATTTATTTTTAAAGGTGTGGAAGTTGACGAATGTGGTGAAGGTGGACGAACGGCTCTTCGAGCTGCTGCATGGTAGTTATGCATATTTATTTTAAAATAAATTTGAATTGTCTGCATGGTAGCACTTTTAAACAGTTTGTAATTTTATCTCCTAAATCCCCAATTTTTTAATAGCTCGCTTTATTTATTATTTTGTAATAATTAAAATTAAGGACACAATCTGTAATTAGAATTTATAAAATAAAAACACAAAATATTTTGTTGTACAAGCAGAAAAAAATATTTGTACATTCATTTTTCAGTTTTATTCCTTTGAAGGCCAATCTGTCTTATAGAATATTAAATGTTTAATGCTTAAAATTTGTTCAATAATTTTTCTGCAATATCACTTATATCCTGTTTACTTTTATTTAAGAGCAAATATAAAGTACATAGAAGATTATAGAAATATTATGCTAAAAAAGTTGTGGCATGTCAAGCTTGATTGCAGTATTAATTGAAGTAAATTAATATGCAAAGTCGTAGCTTTAAAGCTTCACCAACTTTCTTGCCTGTCATAAGCTTTGACTAAGCTAGGATTTAAAAGTTTAAAGAAGAGAAAAGATAAATAATGATTTGTTTTGAGGATATTATTACTTATAGAGAGGAAAAGCTGCTGCTAATACTAATGCAAAAGGAGAATAATAATTAACGAGCTTTCGAGAGATTTTAGATGATGAATGAAAATGACAGAAAGCATGCGTAGAATAAAGTCAAAGCTATTTGAAATAAGCTTAGAATTTGCATAAATGAGTCATGAATTTGATTAACACATCTGACCCATTTCTAAGACAAGAATAATAGCCACCTTGTTTGAATAATTCTTGCATATGCTTCTTATAAAGGGATTTCAGCTACTTAACACTACTATAGGAAACGTACTGTTAAGAAAAATAGCAAAAGAGAAGATTGCAGATTTTTCATCTTGACCTTGAAAAGCCCTTGACCTTTTCATGTTAATTTCTTTAGCTTTGGCTGCTTTAATATATTAGAAAATTAATAACAGCTTGAAAAGATCACAGAAAATCTGATCAAATTTTAATAGATCAAAAAAATTTTACTGGATAGCCTTTATTCTTTCATTATCTATCATTGATCATTTTTCATACTAATGAAAAAAGTGAAATTTTAGGAGTGGATACGAACGTGTTGTACGACGTTTACTCGAATATGGAGCTGATGTTAATAAGCAAGATGCTGAAGGACGAACAGCACTTATGGCTGCAGCATTTATGGATCACGCAAACATCGTTAAATTACTCTTAGAAAATGACGCACTTCCAAATGTTACTTCTTATTTTGCTAACATTAGATTGAAAATTATTAATTTTCAAGTTACCGAAAATAAAGCATGTATTGAAAAGTGATGCAGAAAAAAATTGACCTAAGAAATGACTGATTTTTGTTAGTTTCCTTGTTTTTTTATTATTTCTGGAATTAGATTTGAGCTGTTTTTGAGCTTCTTTGTAAACTGCAATTATTCCAAATTGAAAAATAAATAATAACTTGTAAACTTTTAAAATTGAATAGTTTATTATTTGTAAACTCTAAGAAGTGAAAGCAAATTTAACAGGTGGTAGATAAATATGGATCAACCGCTCTTCACTTAGCTTTTTCGACTGGTGCAGAAACTGACGAACACACCGAAACTATCACAGTACTTTTAAAAGGTTTTTTTATTACTTCAATATATTTATCTTATATTGTAATAATTTTGAGCTGCATATATTCTGTTTATTAAGGGTCCCATTTTCTCAGTAAGAGCACTTTATAGTACTTTTATATTTTGCTATTCAAAATCATACTTATGAGAATTACGAAGCAATTACGTGGTGTGTAGTTCTTAAAAAGTAAGCTTTTAAGGTGGAGCAGATTTGCATATAGAAGACATCAATGATAGAAATTGCTTGCATATTGCAGCAAATCACGGCGATCGAAACCTGCCATTAATTATCGGATGTATTCAAAATATTGATATTCCGGTAGATATTTTTTCACTATTGCTTGGGAAAGTGTTTTGCAAAAATAATTGTTTTGATATTATTAAAAGTTTTGTGATTCGTTCTTCTCTTATAACGTAATTCAAGCAACTTTAACATTTGAGGAGAAAAGTTATAGGATAAAAATGGACGTACGCCACTAATGCTTGCATCAAGTCAAGGTCACGTCTTTACTTGCAAGCAGCTGATTGAATATGGTGCGGATATTGATGCTATCGATGAATCTGGTCGTACACCTTTGATAATTGCTGCTATGAATGGTTTTTTGGATGTTTGCAAATTGCTTGTCAATTCAGGAGCTGATGAAGGGCATAAAGTAAAGAAGAAATTGACTTATTTATTTATTTTAATTGCATTAGACTGGTATTGTCTAATGATTAGTACTGAATTCAAATTTGATTATATGATTACTTCTTTACTTGTTATATAAATAGTCATATATGTGATTATTTATTGAGGATAACGATGGCGCAGTAGCGTTACATTATGCAGTAACACATGCTGATTCAGAATTAAGCAAAATATTAATGACTTCAACGACTGTTCAAGCTACTGATACACGTGGAGTACATCCACTAATAATTGCTGCTCAACGTTCATCAGTTGAGGTAATAATTTTCATCAGCAAATAATATGAATGATTCGTGATTGTTAATAATCAGTACTGTCATCAATAGTAATGTCAGGAACTTGTTTTAATTGATAAATGATATCACTAGTAGAAATTTTAGTTAAATGTAAATTGGTAATACAATAATGAATGCTACAGATAATGGGCAGGAATCTTTTTTTAACTTCTTTTAGTTTCCTCCCTAAAGATTTTAAAAATTGTATCTTATTCATTTATTTCTGTGCTAAATGTAAAAAACAATTGCGAATGTCATAATGTCTGTCAAAATTTTATATAGATATATAATTGTATATGCAAACTATTTTGGATACTTTACAAGTTAATTGAAAGACTTTTAGGTTGTGGAAGAATTACTTAGAGCAGGTGCACCAGTACAACTTCAGTCACATGATGGTCTATCATCTTTACGTGCTGCAGCACTTAATGGAAATGAATCAGTTTTAAGATTTCTTCTCAATTATTTGCATGAAAATAATGAAGCATTAAAATTAGATGAAGTCGATCTTGATGGTATACCACTATTGCATGCACTACTTGTAGCACGTGAAACTAACATTGTTTCTACATTACTAGAATATGGTGCTTCTGCTGCAGTGCGTGATTCACATGGTCGTAGTTGTGCTCATATTGTAGCACAAGTAAGATTCTGTCTTTAATTATTTTTTTTGTTATTTTTTGAAAATAAAATTACTATAATTTATTTTGTTAATATTTATGATGTGAAGTTTTAATAATGTTAAAGATGCAAAATGTCATAATTTTCAGAAATAATTTCATTTGGTGCTATCTCAAATTTGATTGAATTATTTTCCAATTTTTTTTAGTTGAATGATCCAAAGTTAGCAGCCATCGTTTGGAATTATGGAGCTGAATTCGAAGCTCGAGATGAAGAAGGTCGGACACCTTTGATGATTGCTGTTTGGGCATCGAACTACGAAATATGCCAGTTTATGCTAGAAACTATTGGCGTAGCACCGAATGTTGCTGATTATCAGGTTAAGAAAGTTTTTAATGCAAAAAATTTTTAATTTTATGAATTTGCAAAAAGAGTTTTGGCATTGATAGTTACCAATCAGTTTGATGGTGATAATTTGGGAGTAACTGATTGTTAACTTAACAACATTTTTCACTTCATTTCTTGTAAATATTTTTCAGGGTGCTACGGCTTTAAATATAGCAGCGAATAATGGACAACGTGATATAGTTATCTTGTTGTTAAGGTTTGGGGCTGAACCGTCGATTTGTGATAATTTGGGTCGTTGCGCATCTGATGTAGCTCAACTTGCTGGACATGATCATATCAGGTTGTCTTTATGGTTTGTTATACTCTGTATGATTACTCTAAAACAAGTAATTAAAATGTAATGCAGACTTATTTTTTGTGCATATATCGATATATATCTATATTCATATACAAAATCTTCGTGCTTTGCACAGTGTTTATGTAATGAAAGATTTTCATGAAAGGTCATCCATATTTTGATGTGATCTGCAGATTATTAAGAGTCAAAGTTATTCAAACATGCTTACTCAATTTTTTTTAATGATTAAAATGGAAACTTATTTGGCTGATCTAGACTTCATTTTATTAACCACTCGAAGTTTATTACTCTTTATTTATCTCGTTGATTCTAATACAATAATATAGTTTCTAAATGATAAAAATTATGACTTTCACTAATGAATCATTTGATTATTTATGGATCAGTTTTACCGTATGTAAATATCCTCTGCAGGCAGATTCTGAAAAGTGCAGGTGGATCTGCTGATAGTTCGGGATTCGGGTCATTACCTGGCAGTCCAACACAACAGTCTAAAGCAAAATTTTTATTACAACAAAAGAATCTGAAGCCATCTTGCAAAAGCAATACTTTGCAAATTACTCACTGATTGAAAATACTAATTTCCTTCCTCAACTATGACTAGCGTGATTGTTAAGTCATTTATTTTATGATAAAAGTTAGTGATTTTTATTAAATTCTAATTTATAAAAACTCGAAATATTGTTGTAGTCTAAATAACCATACAGAAGGATCGTCACGCTTGTTATTGCTTGAAAGTGATGATAATTGTAGTAATGATAAGTAGAAGGTTATGTTAATAGACAGTAATATTATTAACAGTGATATTATTTGAAATTCATTTCAGTTTCGATTCTAATATCAGTATATAATGGATTTGAAAAAATACAGGTGATAAAGAATGAAAATTTTGTTATGTCTAGTGTACTGGCTAAGCAGTTTTGTATTGAAATATTTTCATATTCATTGTAATGCATTTAAAATAATATTCTTATTTAGTGTGATCTCATTCTCACGCATTTTCTGTCTTAGATAAATTTTTGAAGGCGTTACTTGGCTGATCGTATCAATTGTATTTTATCATAAAATTTAAAATATTTAGAAAAAAGTTTTTTTTGTTAGCAAAATTAAATCCATATTTTATTTTATCATTCATTTTCTGTACTTCAGGGTTATCTTTTCACTTTATCACCGCAAACTTGCTGATTGATTTGAATGATATTTTTGTAGACTATGCTTGATCATAAAATATTTTAAGTGTTGATATTGTTTGATTTATGCTTTATTTTACTTTTAGCTCTATAGTTGTAAGCCTTACATAGCCTTTATCCGGTGTATTCTACGTAAATAAAGTTATCTCACAATTGTCAAAATTATAATTAAATTTGAATATTTATTTGAATGCAGATAATTAATAACATGCAAGATATGAAAGCAGATCTATTTTAATAAGCAGAAAGTGTAACCAATATTAGTAGTTTCAGGTTACATAGCACAACAAACTTTCAATGAGGTATTAATCTCAAAATATAAAAGTTGTATGAAAAATTTGCTTCTTCGATAAGGTATTTAATTAAATACATTCCTAAGGGCTACCTTCCTATGAAATATTAAATTTAATGCTTGTAATTAATATTTTTAAATTTGTCTAAGAGATATATTGAGCATTTGATTCTTGTTGAATTACTTCCGTGTTTTGGCTCCTTTCCATTACGTTCGTAGAAATGATTGATTTTAGTATTATTCCATATATATTTTAAAGATTTCGAGCAAATGGTTGTTCAAACGCAAATTTTGAAAGTTTTTCACGCAAAAAGTCAAAGTGTTATTGAATTATTGCCACTCATTTTCCCTTGAGAATAAAATTGTTCATTTTCTTATTTTTAAGTATTTGAATGTAAGACTTTCAATTTATTTGGTCTTCCAAAAGACAGCTGAGAATTTCTCCGATTTTTAAATTGTATATTCAATAATATTAGATGAAATCTGAAATGAGTTAATTCGCTTTTTGTTCGAATTATAGTTTATCATTCCATATTTCCTTAATTAAATTAACTCCTTTTTTTAATTACTTGCCAAACAAATTAATTAAGAGTTTTAATTTGTGAATGTGAATAATGCAAAAAAATTCTTATTCAAATTATTGAAGTGCCAGATAATCATTGTAGTTTTATTAATTTGTAATGGCAGATAGCGCAAAACACTACGAAGCACACAATCACATGAATGAAACAGTCTTAACTTTAAAACCTAATATTTATTAATGAGCATTTAAGTTACAGTCATACAATTGAATACTCAAATTTTATAATATTTTTGCTATCAAAATTTTTACTAGTCTAAATTGGTCTGAAATTAAATATTATTGCTAAGTGATTGGAGATATACCAAAACGTTCAAAAGCAACGCTGAAATTCAGATTAAAATTACAGCCACACAACATTTATATTTTTGTACTCATATGAGTCACAAACAAGACTGATTGAATCTACAAGTATAAAAATTCATAAATATCAGTAATGACAAAATGACTAATATTAAGATTTTCAATCAATACTTATTAAAATCTTTTTTAATAAAATCTAAATTTGAATAATTAATAAACTTTTCAATCAATGCTTGAAAGTAACTTTTTTGAATTTATAGTTATTTTGTGTTTCGACTAAATTTTCACCAAGAATTACGCATCAATGAATTTAAATTGCAGTGCACTCACTGTTTTGCACAAACATTTTAACTGATCAAAATTATAACTGAGATCAAATCTGATCAGATCAGATCACATTATGCATACATTCAAATGAAAAATGGAAAACGACATTCTATATTGTTTGCTAAATATTCCATAAATACTTTTAACAGACAAATTGGTTATATAAATATCCATCAAATTTAGTTTGCATTTCAATTCACTGCTATAAATTTAAATTTTCTACTTACATAGTCATATCTGTAATTTTTATTCAATTTTAATCCAAAAATCAGTATTTATCTAATTTAGATAAAGTGGAAATTAATTAACAGAAGTATTATCAGTCAGTAACGACAGTAAAAAGCTTTTTATTCCGCAAAGCAATCAAAGATTTTTGTACAAGCATTAAAAAGTTTATTAATGGAAGAACCAATCATTTAAGATGTTGTAATAGAAGTACTAATCGCTATGACCTCTTGAAGTCGCCTTTCAAAATTCGTAAAAGTACCTTCTTGAACTGTTGATTAGCCATAGCATAACAAAATGGATTAATCGGACTGTTCATATAACAGAGAAAGTAACTTATTGAGTAAAATAAATTGAATACTTTTGAATTCCTGCACGATTCACAAAATCCCATCACTGTTGCCATTACGTAAAATGGAGTCCAAAGTATCGTGAAAGTACCCAGGATGAAAGTAATCGTACGTAATGCCTGCAATAAACTACTTATTACTGTTATTCACCAATATTATTGTTTGTTATTATTATTATTATTATTATTTAAGCTTTATTATTATCAATATTATACAATGAATTTTTTCAAAGTTAAAAAAAATGCCTTCCGTGCACGATTTTCTGATCTTGACTTGTAATCACTTTTGCTCGGATGGTTTTTTAACCTTCGAATGCTTCTTGTTCGCACAACGCTGATCAAATTTCGTATTCCTTGTAACGAATGCTTGCGACGAGTTACTCGCGCAGTAGCTAGCAGTGGCCGACGTACTTCTTCTGACATAGCTAAAGTATGCTTTGGTTCTTCAAGCACCTTAAAATAAAGTGATACAAAAACTATTAAATATCACACTATTAAATATAAAATAAACTTTAGAAAATATCACTGACCTCAATTCGAGGTGGTATTTCATAGACATCATCATGTCCAACCAATGAGGTCAAACTGTCAATGTCAATAAAAGGAATGCGATGTACAGCTCTAAATGGTGTTTGTTCTTCTGCATCGGGGTCAGATATCTCAGGTGAATCGCAAGGTGCAGTACTTTCGCGTTCCAAGGCAGTGCTTACTTTTGAATTTAGTTCACTACAAAATTTCTTTTATTAATTTATTTTTAATACTGTCTATTACATATCAGTAATTGTTTTTAATTCCTACAGTTTTTTGCTTCACTTGATTTTTTTACTCATCCAGCGCGATCAACAATTTTTTCATTCCTCAATTATCTATTTCAATTATCTATTTACTTTAGTTCTCATATCCTTGTATAGCTTTCTATTCAATGTCTGATAATTATAATCATATATTATTTATTATATTTAATTTATCATCACCACTATGCTTAATCAAAAACTTAAATCATAGCAATTGTAATTGAAACTTCCTAAATTTATGGTTAATATTCAACAGAAAATAACTTACAAACAGTATAAAATGTTTCCTTCATTGCTCATTGGTCCGTCATTAATGCAGTCTACCTGAGCATTTCTCAAATTTGATATAAAAGAAAGAGGCCTCTTGATTGAAAATGCTCGATTACAAGTCGGTTCAATTTTCATACTGTAATATTTTTTCTCTCAACTAATAATTAATCAAGGCTTTTACTGTATACAGTTATAACAATACTAATACTTTATTAGTAATATATTGTAAAAAATCATTAAAAAAATTGAATTTTGCACATAACTAAACATTAAATTGGTTCAAAAATCAAAATTATAACAAAAACTTAAATAAAATTACCATAAAATTACTGTATAGGAAACTTGCTTAGATTGTGGAACAATTGGTGTAGTTGTTGTACTTGTTGTTGTGGTATTATTTGTGATATTAATTGCTGCACCACTCGGATGTATGATATTGTTACTGCTATTTTGATGAATTGCTTGCTTTTTCATTTTTTTTGGACTTTCCAAATTTGTTGGTGCAGTGGTATTCCTCAATTATTATCATTATTGAATTTTCAGTAGTTTGTAAAGATTTTCAAAATTGCATACTACAATGTGGTAAGAAATTTAAAAAAAATGGCTGAAAGTATTTGCAGAATTCAAATGAGTAATTAAGTTCTGTGAACAATTTGAACAAAAACTTATTGCTTATTACAATATGCAAAGTAAGCATTTGCTAAAAAAATTGCCAATTCTCTAAAATACTTATAGCCAATTCAAAGTAAATTCAATTAAAACTTTCCAACAAAAAGTTATTCACAGAGAAGAATAATAAGGAAATGATAAAGATTTTAAGATTTTTATTAATAATATTTCATGAAAAAAGTACTTGCATTATTGAATAAATTTATTGGTTGTATTATATAATAAAGTAGTTAGACTGTTTCATCCAATATTTGATATTTAATTCAAAAATAATATAAAAAAAGATTGAACGAAATCATTTAAAAATTTTAACTTCTACTGATTAAGTATGTAAAACTATATAATTTTTGTTAATTTAGCAGTTTAAGTATAATAATAGCCTTAAACTTTTAAGTGTTATTTATTTATCATTTTTACTACTATTTATTAAAATTTCAAAAACATTTTGGCAATTTTATGTTCAAAAAATTCATTGAATTATTTAAAAATTGATAAAATATAGCAGTAAAGAAGTGATGAATAATCATAATTTAGCATTAAATGTGCTTACAAGAAAAACTTACGCTAATTACCAAATATAGTCACTATAAGCGTTAGTCACGCAAAATTGACAGAATATTTTTTAATTAATTACTGTACGCAAAGTTTAATTTTCATTTATATTTGTTTTTTAAATTATACGTCATCAATGAATTTTTAGTATTGTATTTTGGCTTAAATTTATCAGATATTAAGTTTTCAGACAAAGTTTCACATTAGCGTGATGACATTTTTTTCAGGAATATTCTCCTACACTGAACTCCTTATTTTTTTACTCGTCGAAAATAATATTTGAATTGTTTTTTAAATTATCTTAGATTAATATTTTATATAAAGTGTTACTATACCTCTCTTTAAAGGTAAACAGACTAATAATAATTTGATAATTGTTTTGTGATAATTTC